AAAGGATCTTTCACATTTGGTTACATATACTGAAAGGTACTTTTGATTTCCTGATTCACAATAAGGAAAACTAGAAATGCATTCAATGTCTAGAAAGGAGAAAGAAATGTCAAAACTTAAAAGTACATCATAAAGCAGAGAAAATTATAAAAAAGAAAATCTGCATGTATCAACATGGAAAAAAATGAAAAATTGCTAATAAAAAAATCACATAAAGATTTGTACAGCATATTATTTATGCATGTTATCAAAACAAAATCTAGTTTTGATAGATACAGAAACCAAGGGAGCTGTGTAGTCAAGCACAACATCTCTTGGGGAGAATTGAGGGAGAGGCCTAGAATAAGAACAAGAGTTAAACTCATTCAACACTCAACTAATGCAACCCCTTATTCTAGCTACTAGACATGGGCAGGGAATAAGAAGACAAAAAAATCCCTGCTCTTGTGGATTTTCGTTGCATGGTGATAAAATAAGTACATGATAGTGGCCCTCCCTGGTGGTGCAGCGGGTTAAAGCACAGCATTCTAAGATGCTAAAGTCACTTCAGCATGAGTTCAATCCCCACTCTGGAGGTGAACCACATGGTACAGCAGACCTCTCCTGACCTGCCGGCTGCTCCTTTCAGCAGTGTACTTCGCCAGTTTGCCTGTTCTGCTTCCCATTCTGTCTCTGGTGAAACCTCTCACTGCCCCTGCAACTCTGGTCTGTATCCAGTTCTGCATTCATAAATAAATAAACCTTTTTTTAAAAAAAAAAAAAAAAAGTAAGTACATGATAAAAGTTTCGTGGAGAAATGCCACAGGGGCAAGGAGATACAAACATAGGGGCTGGGTGAGGTGTTGACCTGCATTTGACATTTAAAAAGACATCCAAGATGCTTTATTTACAATTGGAAAAACATGGAAGCAGCCCAAATGCCCAAAAGTAGATGACTGGATTAAAAAGATGTGGTACATATATACAATGGAATATTACTCAGCAATCAAAAAAGAGAAACACATGCTTTTGCAGCAACATGGATGGAGCTTGGAAAGATCCTGTTTAGTGAGATAAGCCAGAAAAAAAAAGAAAAATACCAGATGGTTTCGCTCATAGCAGGAGTATAATGGACCAGGCGAGAAAATAATAATGAACAGCCATATACCAGAGACATTTTATGGGGTTGGAGTGGAGAATGGGATCAAAAACGGTGGGGAGAGGGAAGTGCGCTGGACTATGGTGATGAAACATGGGTGATTTACTGATGGGAAACACACAGGGATTACAATTGAGATGGGGAAAAAATGTACAAAATGATGTAAAAATAAACTATTATATTATTTTTAAAAAAAGACAGCCAAAAAAGACACCCCCCCACCAAGATGGCAGCGCTTGAGTCAAGACTAAAGTAGGAGGGTCTGCAGGGATTCTCACTGGGGTGCTTTGGGAAGAGTGGATAACCAAAGCAGGTGCCAGGAAGGGCAGGGCCAGTGTGGCTGAGCAAAATGAAGGGGCATTTTAGGGGGTGAGCCCAGACAGGAGCCTGGGGTCTTGTAGGTTGTAGTCATGGTCTGGGCATGCGTGGGGTGGAAAGGTCCTGGCAGGATGAGCAGGGGAAGGATGGATATGATTTACATTTTAACTTAATCAGTCTGACTATTGTGTTGAGAGTTAAAAAAGAGAGAGAGAGAGAGAAAGAGAGAGAGAGAGAGAGAGAGAGAGAGAGAGAGAGAGAGAGACGGAGGGTTGGGGGGAGACCAGTAACCAGTACAATTAAATAATGTTTTGTTTTGTTTTAATCCTAATCAAATATACCAAAAGGATAGCATCTGTTTGATGGCAGCGTAGGGAGCTAGGGTGTGTGAGAGTGTGTGCTTATTATTTTCTGTCCCCTTTTGATATGTCTGAAATATAACAGATCACAAAATAGACTAAGAAGTTCATCAGACAATGTCTGAGGATTTTCTTGAAGAAAAGAAAATACCAATTAGCATTCACCATTTGATAATTAAAATGTCCCGTTACTGCTAAAATCATGTCACTATTTCGCCTATTAAGATGGACAATTAGTAGAGACAAGCACTAAAAAGTGAGCAATTTACTTTAGCCTTTTATTCACAGCAGAAATTTAAAGCCTAAACATTTTCTATGATTCCCTTCTGTGGGATGGTTTTTCCTCAAATTCTACAACTCATCTTTGATGCTACATGCCAAGAAAGTTAATGAAATTTAAAAATAGCATGTCATGCTTGATAACCCATACACATTTTGGCTTATTTACTTCATTTATCATTTTGTAGTGCCTTTAATACTGCATTGTTTATTGGGTTTACAGGAAGGAGGTTAAACCTCCTCCAAGGTTCTTAATAGGAAAATCACTTCCTCACAGAGAGGACACTGAAAAATCCCTATTTATTCTAGCTTACACCATCTGTTTCTATAGTCTGGAGTTTTTTTTTAATAGAGTAAAGTGAAAACAAAGTAAGAAGCTATGTTCTCTACATGTCTCCTGTAACCCCACCGTCTCTTGTTTCATTAGCTGCTCCACCGGGGAAGGAAGGGAGATCTCTCTAGGATCAGGCATCCATTGCAACTGTGAGCAGTGTTTGCCTTTCTAGCACAAAATAAAACAGTAACAATGCATTCGTGGAAAACACACAAGAACACATCCAAATTCACTTCTCAACATGAATAATAAATTCTACAATCTCTCTTTACAATTCAGAATTAAAGTAAAATTTAAAAACAAACTTTACAAAGAGTATATGCTTTCACAGAGGAATGAAGGAAGCGACAGTGTTCAAAAAAATTCTGACCTGGCATTGACAATAAGACATGTGACAAATTACCTCAAAGGGAAACCACCAAATCACCATTAAGGAAACCATCCCCACCACCTCTCAGTATTAATGTTTATGACAAAAATAGACAAACTGCACTCACACAATATGGTTAAGGGAGTGGAATAAATAAAGTCATGACATTATAAACATAGATTCTTGGAATATTATTCCTCAGAATTCTAATTCTCCAACTGCTTTGACAGAGAGATCATTTCAATCATGCAAAAAATTGTGACCTAACATCATCATCAGCTGGCCCTGTTTGAGACTACTGAACCCCCAAAAATCACAAAAAGGGTGGATTCTAAGGAGATACCAGAAAAGAGAACAACAGGAAAGTGAACCTGGTTATCCAGAAAAGGCATTAAAACTGTTATCTTAAAACTGGGGTTTTAAGCCAGTGTAACCTCAGGACTTGAAAAGCCCCTAAAACAACTGAGCTTCAATTTCCAATGTATAAAGTAACTAGCATTGATGAGATAATCTTTAAGATTCATTTCATTATAAAAGCCCTCCACTTTCAATAAAGCATGCTTATTGTTTATTTTTTAAAATAGATTTTATATTCATAAAAAAAAATGGGGGGGCATTAAAAATGTATTGTGCTCTGAGTTCCATCCCTACCCACACTCCCAACTCTAACTTCCATAATCCAAAATGAAGTAATGTTCACTCGTTCTCAGAGGACTTAAGAAACATGAGCAAACACACACTACTTGCCTCTCTCTGAACAAAAAAAGAGCATCGACACCATAGCTGCTGAACCCCATCTCTCAGAGTACCTTGGAGAGCTTCCCACATCAGGACAAAGACTTATATGAATATCAAAAATCTGTTCATTCAATGCCATACAGAAAGGAACTTGAATTTTATCCCCCAGGCTTTAACTAAAATACATCATGCTGCAAATACAAACATTTACGCATCTTTTTGTACAGTATAAGATAATTTTCTAGAAGTGGGAGTGCAGTGGGTCAATGTAACTATAATTTTAATAAATTCGGCCAAACTGCCTTCCATACAGTCTGCACCTGCCTACACTTTCATCACTTGGATTTCGACTCATCTGATGACTATGCCATATGGGTTTCACTGGTATCTTTCTTAGTTTCAAAGTTTGCATACAAGTCATTGTGTCTCTTTTCCTATGAACTATCTGTTCACATTCTGAAACCTTCTTCTATAAGTTACTGGTCTTTTCTTACGGCTTTATACTAAAAGATATATTATTTCAAACAACTGTCCCATGACCAAAAACAAAAAGCTCCTGGGGAAGCTGAGTCCTGAATTTATGTTTATCATTCCTTGAATGCTTTAACAGTTGAAAAGGGGCTATCCCTTAGATTTATTTTATTCAAAAATACTAACTACAATCACTCAGTGTTCCATAAATATCATACCAATAATGAAAAAGAGGATGGCAACCAGGAAAACTGAAATTTAGGCTGTGGGTATCGAGTAATTTCCCAGTGTGGTTAACGCTGTAAATAAAATAATGACTGGTGGTCTGATAAGGGTGCCATAAAAACCCTGTATTATTTGAGGTTATCTTTAAAAAAAAAACAACAAATTAATTTTCCTAATGTCTTTTCAATTTTTTTATTATTCCCTTTATTTTCCATCATGTCCTCTTATCATTTATCTTGCTGTTTTCTTTCCTGAATAAATCGTAGACCAACAACAAATCACATAACTCAACTTAATCCCAATTTCAAGTTACTTTAATTCCCAATTTAATTATTTTAATGAATTGTAGCATCAAGCCATTGAAAAGCTGTAAGTGACTTGGCTCCAGGGAAATTCTGATTTGAAATAAAAAAATTAAAGAAAGTTTCATTTGCATTTTGCTGCCTATTAAATGTGATTTCACAGCACTTTCAAGTTTTCATCTCAATCATTAACAACTCTGTATCTAGATCAATACACAAAACAGCACCACTGATAATCCTACCAATCCTATTGACCAGGTACTTCAGTTTACACAAGTGGAGGAGAATCCCAGGGCCACATGCTTCACAAGAGAAGAGAGCTATAATGAAGTCGTATGTCAACTAACTATACAATGACTTTCCACTATGTGGAAACTGTTTTCAATGTAAACTACAGATTAATAAATGCGTCAAACCATACCAACCCTCCTGAAACACCCAAAACTACATTTTCCAGAATACTAACCTTTGGGAGGTGTGAGATTGACCCCATTTTTAAGGCACCATTGTACTGGTAAAATCCCCACAGAATCTGCATGGCACAGCATTGAGAGTTCACTAGGCTCTGGTCTTAGGTCATCAATAGTCACTTGAAAAAAATGATTGTTAAAAACCTGAAAGAAACAGAAACAACAGAGCCAATGGTTACTACCTTGGGATTAACATAAATGCTAGTATGAAATACTGGCAGCTTCCAATTTCTATTTGATCAAAATGACGTGGGCACAAAGTGGCATTCTAAGAACATGACTAAAATAATCCTGTTGGATAAAGTTAGGGTTGATTGTGTGGTCATATTTTTTAAATATTTATTTATTTATGCACACAAGAACTGGCGTAAAGCTCAAGAGAAGCAGGTGGGTAAGAGGATTCACCAGAGGCAGAGTGTGGAGCAGAACAGGCAGATCTACTGAGGTACACTGCTGTGGGGAGCAACAGGCAGGACAGGCGAGGTCTGCCTCACCACTCGTGCTGGGGATCCAACTCGTGCTGCAGCTGCAGTGGCTGCAGAGAGGTTCATAGTGCTGCACTTCAACCCGTTACGCCACCAGGGAGGGCCCATGTGGTCATATTAATGAAAATAGAAACAGGTAACTAGATTATGTAGAAGATAAAGAATAAAAATATCAGTGACTTTAGTGCAGTAAACCAATAACCATAGTTTGAAGAACAACAAACCGATGAAGTAACACACACAAACCCCAGCCTAGAAGAAAACCCAGGTGGACACCAAAAGGGAAGACTGGTTTTCTAGTGTCTACAGGGGGGCCCAGTTCTTCCTACCAGATCATTCAAGAACTTCTACTGCTTTGAAGATTTCTAGCCTGATCTCTCATGACACAGCTGTCCAGCTGGCCCACCCTCCAGCCCAAGAGGAAATCACAAACCCCTGGACATGCCTTTACTCAGTGTTCTCACTGGGATGTCGGCCCGGCTATGCAGCTGGATGGCAGGACAACTTCTCTGTGCCTCCACAGTGTCAGACGAGGACCTCGGACTGGAAAGCCTCACCCCTTCCCGAGGATCCACACCACGTCCCCAGGAGCCTCTAAATCCTTTGACTTAAGTACTCCATCACAATACTTTCTAGCTAGAAACTGTATACACCTTTTACTTACAGTATTCCATCACCTAAAAGCTGGATAATCACATTGCATATAAGAAAAGATAAGAGTGGAGACCAAGCCATGGGTGTAGAAAAGGCATAACGCAAAAACCACATGGGCCTTCACACTGAAAAGCATGATGAACTTCAATCACCTAGTATATAAAGTAGACCAGAGGAATAAAGCTCACTCTCCCAATTCATCAGACATAAATCCTTTCGTAGGAAACCTAAGCACTTTTACTAAGCTGTAATTCCCAGCTCCGTCATTTACAAAGTAGTTTTGGAAACAACCTAGTATAAAGCTAACCAGTATAAAGTAAACTCACTTCTGTTCTTCTCTATGCTAGTTCCAGTAGACCATTTGATTCTACTGCCTGAGGAAACTAGACTTTGTGGAGCAAAGAACAGAATATCACCTTCCTGGGGAGGTTTCCAGGATAAGATCACACCCTCCCCCTCCCGCCACAACCTTCTTCAGATTCTCCTCTGATCTGCCTTTCCCTTTAGCATTTAACACTGCTGACATACTATCTTTATTCACCTACTTTGTATCCTGTCTGCCTCCCCATTAAAATAGAAGCTCTTTAAGAGCATAATTTTGTCTATGTTCCCATTAAGCCAAAAGCACCTATGAATGCTCAGTAATTAATTGTTATGTTAACTTGGCCTAATCTTTCCAGCATACACATACACAAATGTCTGTAAAATAGGATTATTCTGGCAGCAGAATCTCTTAGTGCCACTGGACCCTGTAAGGATGGACAGAAAGGAATCTCCGAAATCCATTAAAGTGTATGTTTATGTGTGCATACTTCAGAGAAAAGCTAAGTACGTTTCTTCAAATCCACCCAGGATTCGTGCTACCAAATGGTTCAGAATACCATCTGTCTCATCAGGTCTCACAACCAAAGTCTAACGAAGCACACCACCTTGCCTAGGAATGTGGCCTGGGCTAGCAGAAACAGAAACTGAACCCAAGAAGCCTAATACTTGTCTCCTTTGTGGAAATAATATAACATATTACACGTATGTGAAGGATATTATCATTGTCATCATCATCTGCTAATATTTAATTCTGTTGGAAAATCAAAAACATACTGTTCCTGCACTACCATGGGCTGGTCATTTACTACTAGAGCTGTTACATATTTCCCTGCTTTCTGTGTGTTTTCTTTGATATTATTTACTAATTTAATGTTAATTGATTTCATCAACAGTTGTGCCATGAAGAAAAGTTCCAAGGGGAAAGAGAGGAAATGAGCTTTTATTAGGATGAGGGATAACAGCACAGGAGGTTATATTCTGAAATATAATAGTCTAAAACCTTCTCCAATGTTAAGAGAAATATATTTCATTATAAGTATCCCCTACATTAAGAATGTTCTGATAATTCATGACATGCAGATGACCTTGAACCTGGGGAGGTTCCAACCCCAACTCCAAAGAATCAGAAGCCCATACCCCAATATTTGAGTCAGTAAAAGAAGGAGGGGGTACTTCTAAAACAGAATTATTTAAGTATTTTATCTTTTTGACAAAGGGTAAGAAAAAAAAAATGTATCTTGAAAATACCGTCTCACTCCAACCCCCACTGAGATTTATTTAGAAAGGAAATTACTGTGAAATCTACGCAACTTTTTTTTTAATGGACCCTAATTATAATCAGTATGTCACAGTCCAATGTTATATATTACAACTACTTAAGGCATAAAAATGTGAGCATCTACCACTGACATACTAAGCACATCTGTACCTTACTCTGATTAATTTTAAAATTACCAGGTGACACTGACACCAGAGCCTCCCAGAATGAGGACAAGGTGACGCACGTCCAGGTAAATGAGCACCACTGGCATTACTATGCCACCTGCTGCTGGAACAAAAGGAAATTCTAGACAGTTTTCAACAAGGGGTCACTCTTTGGCTTTGGAAAAATGTACAACTACCAAAGAACCCCAAGTCCATTTCAAATCAAAAGGTTTTCAATATACGGTGTGTGAATGAGAGCTGGTGTTTCTACCCTGGAACGTGATTCAAAGCAGAAAGGCGCTACCTTTTTTCTCTTAGGTAGTTATTCTTTAAATAAGTTACTTCAGCAATCATAAAAATGATTTATGTTCACTAATGAAAAATATTCAGAATACACAGACATTTCCTTATCATACTGTTGTCTTTGTTCTATGTCACACTACCACCATTGCATTTCCAAAATGGTACCAAATTATAAATGAAGAAAGCAGGATCCAAAAAACTAACTTCAAAAGGCTAATCACTGCTTTGGCAAATCCAGTCTCCCTCAGAAAAAGAAATTTAAATGGAATTGACTTTGCACTCGATTCCCCACAAAATGCACAAAGACCATCAGCTAAAAGACACACAGGGGAGAGATGCCATGCTTATTGGTTTCTCCCCTTGCTTCCGAGGATACTTAAGGTAGAAACACATACTTCACATATTGCCCTGATGACCTCACTGAGATTTCTTGGTCAGGAAAGGATCATCTTAAGAGAGCCTACTAGATTGTAATAAAAATGCCTTTACATGAAAAAGTAATTCTGTTTTAAATCTGTAAGTCATAAAAACACGGTTGTCAGTGAAAGAAGGAGAACAGTGATGACATATTAGAGATGGGAGTTTGATTTTCACCTTTTTCAGATATTATACACACACACACACGTATACATGTGTATATTGTATTTATACAGCATGTCATATATATCATATCAACGACCAGCAGTAGAGGAGGAGCAAGTTAGTGTTATATTGATTACAAAATGCAACTCATCCACAGTTCATTTTAATGAGACGGGAACAAATGATAACATTTAACGTGACTACAGAGACCAGGGAAGATACATACTCATGGCAGAGTTTGGGCTTGAAACTCAATGACGAGTCTGGACATTACTCCGAGTCACCACGGGACATGACGGCAATTCAGAACTATCGGAAGACAGGTGAAATTCACCTATCTCTTGTAGATATTACATCTGATTAGGTCTGTTCTACACTAGTAGCAATAAAAAAGAACTTTAAAAATAGTCCTTGGTTGGAGAAGTCACACCTCCTTTTGGTTTATCTGGTATCACAGCAAACCGTGTGCGGCTTTGGGCAAAGCCACACATGTGATCCACTCTGGAGCTAACGAGCAAGGAAGGAAGCTCACCTTGGTCACTGATGCAGGACAGATATGAAAGGGCTCGCTCATATTCACTGTTTCTAGCTTCATCCCAACTGTGAAGAAATGATTTCGCAAATCTGCATGATCCTGCAGAGAAAAGGATAAAAACATTGAAAGCAACAGTACTGTAAATTAACTCGGTGACTGTCTAGAAGCTGCCCCTGAACATTTTATTGGGCAGCCGAAATCGGATTGAAATAATTAACCCTCCCCGTTTCAAATTTCTAATTATTGCAAGATACTGTGGATTTAATTATTTTCTGCAGGCTAAATTGCTTTTCCAAGGGAGAGGAAGCAAGTCTTTGTGCCTATACTTAAATTTGCATTAAGCAAAAAATTCACTTTGTATGGCTTTGATCTTCCTAGGTGCTATAACGGAAGCACAGCAGAGTAATAGAGGCAATCAGTCATCTCCAGCACAGCAGGCGCATCTTCAGAAAATGAGGCCTCTTGCAACTAGAGTTACTTCACAGGCTTCAGTGAGTACCTTCTGGGTGACAGTTAGTCCCTGTCTCTTGTGTCTCTGAGCAAACAGCTTATCAGTTATTAGTAGTGAGCCAGTGATCTTCAAGATGTGGACTTATAAGAGTCCAAAATAGTCCTACAGACAATCAGAACCCTATCCTGCTCCATAAAGATGAGCAACACCCCTGTTTAATAGGTGTCTGGCAGTTTTATAACCCGCTCACAGCAACCTTATGTGTACGAAATGGAGCTTTCCTGACTTCTCAAGAAAACAAATTTCAATATCCACTTTAGCTATACAGCAATAGATGGGGCTGGCTGGACGCTGGGTACCAGGATTTATCTTCCTGAGATGGAGGTCACCTCATAACTCACAGTCTGTATAAATAGTAGTGGATAAATAAATGTATTTGCAGCCTGTCCCTGAAGAAATAATAGCTGCAAATAAATCCTGCTATTTCTAAATACATCAATTGGGCGAGAAGTACAAAAAATATCTAGGGATCTATTACTTTCTTTTATCTGCAAATCTAAAGTGGATTTTTAATTAATTCAATGATGCCATTCTGTATCTCCAAGGACTGTGGTGAGCCCCTCAGGCAGCACCTGCCCCTCCCTCCCCTGCAGAAGCTGCTTGATGCAGTAGAGGTTCAACATATAACCCAAGCAAGCTGCTCTGGTGCGGTTCTCTCCACCACCCACTGCTTTGCCAAAGAGGGTACAGAATATAAACACCTATTGAACCACAAGGACTCGTGTCTCATTTAGACACAGTGGTCTGTAAGGGCCCTTCTACCCAATAGATACAAAATTCACATTAGGTAGGGGTGAAGGAAATAGTGTCACATGGAGTTGGGATGCCTGAGAGGGGAAAGAGGAACCAGAAGGGGCAGAAGAGATGTGGCCCATGTGCCAAAAATTACACAACAAAAACTCATCCAAAGAATTGGTCCATTCGAAACCTTATACATAGTGCTTATACTCAACACATTATAAAAAATAATATGCATAAGGAAAAGCACGGGGAAATATTTTAGGTACAGGAAATGATTTTCATTTGTTATTTTCAAAGGGGGAAGATGGCTCAGATCAGACATGTAATGAAGAGATATAATATATTTAATGCACCGTGACACAAACCAACCACTATCCCTAGGCAGAGCCAAAAACCACAGGTGTTCAGCAACAGTAAACTAAAATTTGAGTCACAAAAGCATCTGAATTAAAAGATGAAAAGCAAACATCGCTATGAGATATCAATGCCCCAGTGTCTCACAGTCAACGGGAACTGACACACAGGCGTGGATTTTGCAGATAAGCATTTTGGCTTTCAAACACAAAATTCCTTGGCTCTTTTGGAAAAAATAAATTATTCTAAAGTCATAAAAAAAACTTTGCTTAAATATATTCACAGATGTAAGCAGTCATTATTATACTGTTTGACAATACAGAAAATGTGCTCGAGCACTAATGACACATTTGTAGCTATAATAAATGGCCCGGGTGAATGCTGTATTTTCACAGACGTGCGTCAATGTTCCCTTCGGCTATCAGATGTCCTTCATTGCAGAGTTCCCTATCACTACTCATAGCTAAAAGGCTAAACATTCTAGAGATGTGACTCTTAATTTCTCCATGGTTGCCTCTATGGCCTGTTCTCCTTACAAATTTGGTATCTCGCGTATTCTCCTGGTTACTTCTTCACACTTCTGTTACAGATGTGGGCTGATCACCTTCTGGCCTCTGGCCTACCATCCATCTTGTCAACTTCTGTTGTTCTCCCACATAATTTTGCTCCCATCTATGCTGTCTGAATAGAGCCAGCTTTTAGCAGGGTGAACACAGGATGTCCAGGTCTTTTCTATATCCCAAGTGATCTTGACCACTGATGAAGTCTTTAGCCAAGTCTATGTGCATATTGTATCTCTACTCCAAATCTTACTGGGAGGTCTCTCTGTCACAGTTTCCAATGTCACAAGTACTCTTTGGCCTCTAGAAAGCCTACACTAACAGTAGTTCTTTAACAGTTGCTTTGTTTTATTCAGTCATCTAGCAGGAATACATAATGGCTGCCTTCTCCTTGAAAGGAAAAGGTTATCTAAGGAGCGGATTGCTGTCCTGAGCCTTCATGCAATTTGCTCCTTGGAGAACCTTCTCCTTTCAAGGTTACAGGCTGTACTACAAATGTTCATCATTAGTGATTTCAGAGTATTCAGCCTCAAACCATACCTCTAGGGTAAAAGGGGATCACTTTGTACAGCTATCACACAGTCTTCCTTCTTTCCCAAGATTTTTATTTGTCAACTACTGAACATCTTTATCTTGTTGTTCATTCATAAAAAGTAATATTCACATAAAACCAAGCAGGACATGTACAGGATGAAAACAAAATACTAATGACATTAATATCTTTAAACAATTAAAATAGTATTATCAATATTGTCATAACAGCATTCAAATATTTTTTCAGCAACTGAAAAATAGTGTGGTGAGCAAAGGTTTAGAAACAAGTTTTCCCATTCTCAGTCATGGCTGATATCACACTTCCAACGTTATTTCTTCCAGGTTTCAGGATCCAGCACCGAGCATCTTACTCATGAAAGTGCACTTGTTTCTGTTCCACACTATATGAAAACTCTTAAACCCTCCTGTTTAGTAAGCTGGAAAAAGAAACCAAGCATATTAAGAGAGAGATGACCCAAGCACAGGTATTTATATTTGGGTTGTAAATATCCACATCCTGCAATGACATGCTACTAAATTTCAACTCCGTATTCCAAAAACTAAACCTGGCAACTATAAAAACTGTCCCAGTCTTAATTTCTACTTCTTTTTCCCAAAACCATCCTTGGGTTCCCTTGACCCTCCCTCCCTCTTAACTTGAGAGCATTTAGGATGGTATTGATGTCCACTGATTTTTGAAACTGTAAAGTTATCCAATTGTTTGTTATATGAATGTCCAATATTTGTTGCATTGTTCTGGCTTACTCTGCTACATATAATTCTCTCAAATTCCCTCCATGTTGTTGACAACGTTTGTGTCTCATCCTTTCTTATGGCTGTATAATACTCTATGATGTGGATATACCACTTCTTCTTGATCCAATTGTCCAACAATGAACCACTCAGTGCTGCTTCTATGTCATGGATCCTGTAAATAATGGTGCTATGAACACTGAGAAACATGTTTTCATATTCTTCAGACAGACACCCAGGAGTGCAAATTGAAGGCAGAGGCATACAATCTTCCCAATTTTAAAGTTAAATCCAGATTTCTTCTCATAATGGTTGTCCCAGTTTATATTACCACCAACAAAGTAAAAGTGTTCTTCCTTTTTTCTACAACCTCTCCAACATTGTGGAGCCATTTTTACTAATTCTACTTTCAGACGCAATTTTTTTTAAAAGAAAAATCCTATGACCACATAGAATTCTCACAAGTTTCAAAGGCAAATTACCATTTTTCAAGTTGAAAAGCAAAATGTGCATAATAATTATGAATTTCGTTATGATTATAAATCTTTTCTCTAATGTTCATGCTATAACAACGATACGAGAAACTTTTGGACTAGAAGCAGAACAGCATTTCTTATAGGACTTGTCACTCAAGCTTCTGGTCACTAGAGACCTTCAAAATATCTGCCATCAAGAATGGCAATATTTCCTAATCAATGCCACACTTCCCTCATTTATGCTATGAGGCTTAACTAAGAAAGATTCCAACAAATGCTTCTTGAATTAAGCTGAAAAAAAAAATAGAAATATTGATATTCATTCCAATTCTATGTTCTATTATTCATTTAATAAACCTCTATTAGAAGCCACAGAGGGCGACACAGTACACCAGCAGATGGTGTGTGAAGGGAAATATGAAGAAAATGAGCTATGGACAATCCAAGCTTAGAAGAAATTTCAGAGCAAATATTTTACTTAATAGTATATAATAACTGTTATCATTATGATGGTTCAAGGATTTCTAGGCATGAATCTTAATTTGGAATATGAATAGCGTACAGTTTAATGTGACAAAAGAAGATGCTTGGAAGGTAGCAGAGTAAATTTAATTAGGGAAGCAGGGTTAAGTCTTTAATATTTGGTCTAAAAGGCAAACTGAGGCATTTGACAATTGTAAGAAACACAGTTTTGCGTGATAAAGAATTCAATGCCACTGATTTCCAAATGAACCAATGCTCAGCCCTCTGAGCTCTGTGTGTGTGTGTGCGCACACACATGTGTAAAAGTGCATCCATGAGTACATGAGAAAAGGAACACAAATTTTCTTTAAAAACAAGCTTAATCACCACAGACTATTTACTCTGGGCTGGTAGTGCAGGCAAAGTCCACACAGTCATTTATATAAACAAGAGCAAATTGTTCTCCATGTTAAAGAGAGTTCTTCACCCCTGAAGACGATTCACAGAACTGATTATCTACTGAGAGAGAATGGAAAATTCACAGAGGTTCGAAAGATACAGCCTGGCCCTTTGCAAAGCGCTAGAGGATCATTCACACCTCACAACTGTTGGATCAAGAATGCAATTATTTCTGAAATAAGGAGGGATTACTAAATCTTCAATACATTTACAAAGCTGCCCTGTCACATACAAGAAATACTGTTTATT